GGCAAAAGCATCAAGCAAATGACAAAAACATCATCAATCTGATAAAGAAGGGAGTTGATGTGAGTTTTTATATAAAGAAAATGAGTTAGATAGGCTTTGATATCCATAGTTGAGTTCTGATACTTCTCGTGGAGTTTTGTTACCATTTTTTACATTAAAAAACACTTGTTTCTGTTTTTACTTTTTACTGAAGGACTATATTGTTTTTAAATTATGAAATGATTTCGTTACAAAATTTTCTGTGATAAAAATCTCAAATGATGAAATCAATACTTATGTATACCACATGGAGGAGGTGTTATAATTCAAAATGAAATGCCCGAGGATGCATGCATAATTTGTCGAGAACGATTGAGATGATTGGTAAAATCATGAGCCATGAGAAGGTATTAACCACTTGACACGAATTTGAGATGTTTAGAAAAATAATTGGGCTATATATATCTGCAAGAGGAGGAATCACTCGAACATCTCTCTCTCTTTTTCCCCCCCCCCCTGTTCATGGGTCAGAAGTATCTGGTTTTGTTGTCCCTTAGCGTTGCAGATTGGTAATCTAAACATTCTTAACTTTAAGAAATGGTGCATTGACTTGTTTCTGCATAATGGTTTTTTGTTTGATAAAGATATTGCTCACATATTGTGATTGTTATGGTTGATTTGGAAAGGTAGAAATGACTTTATAATTGTCAGTCAAAAACAGCATGATACTGCTGCTTTACTTATTTTTGCTAGGATGGGTTTGGAGGAATTTTAGTCGGCTAATTTTTCTTCTGATGTTGCGCCAGATCAAAATTTGTAGTTACTTGTAAAACTAGGAATGCACTAGAGGAAAATTGGGTGAAAGTGAATTGTGATGGGTCTTCTGTACCAATCACTTAGGAAGCTTGCATCTGTTGGTATTATTTGCAGAGATCGCATTGGCAACGGGTTCAGTTTTGGTGCTCATTAGCTGATAAGCAATCTGGACCGTCCAGATTTCCAGATTTATCATTTTTATATTTTAATAAATATATTTTATCATCAATTTTGACAATACAAATTTAATTTGAATGATTCAATTCAATATTAATTTTTTTAATTTTTTATAAGTTGACTACTTAGATGTACTCTGGACAGATAAAAAATTAATATTGAATTGGGCTATCCAAATTAAATTTATATTTTTCAGATTGATGATAAAATAAATTTATTAAAATTTTATAATTTTTATAAGAAATATAAAATAAAAATAAAAAACAAATTTTATAAAATCTGAAAATCTGGAGGGTCTAAATGGTCATCAAATGATGAGCACCAAAACTGAATCCTATTGGTAACAAAGCGCGTGCTGATTGAGTTTGCTTATATGGCTGAGTTGTTGGCTTTAAAGAAGGCTTTGATGCTGTTAGATGAACTGATGAAGGTGGAAAGAGCCATTTTGGATTCTGTTAACAGAAAGTTATGAAAAGATGTTAAGGACCTTCTGCATTTGAATAATCGTTGGCTTTTGCCTTTCTCTTTTAGGGAGGCTAATTGTGCAGCTAATTGTCTTAAACCTTAACAGACTAATATGATAATTTAATAAAACATAAGGAACCAAATTATAAAAATTAAACTCAAAAAACCAAATTGATATATAATTAAAATAAACTTGAGGGATTGAAAATTTTATTATCCTTTTAATTAATGTTAGCTATTGTTATTTTTTTGTAGGTTTTTTTCACTAACGCATTTACTGTACCCTTGTTCACGTTCTTTTTAATTTTTTAGTACGGTTTATTATTTATTAATATAATATAATATAATACCATCAAAGTAATAATTTATAGTAAATTATATTATTAATAAGTTATAAAAAATATGATTCATTTTTTATTTTAAGATGATATGTGCTGTCAAGACTCATGATCTCCTAAAGTTCATCAACAAACTCTTAGGAACTTTGGTCGAATGTGTCCTAATGCACAAAATTAACATGATTGCATGTATGGAAATCATGATTGCCAAAAATCTGGTAATAATGAAAATTCAAGGCTAGAGGATATGAAACCTCATTAATATATATATATATATATATATATATCAAATAAGGGTATCTTAGCTTATAAAAAAAGTTAATAAATACTTTTAAATTTTAAAAGAAATATATAAAATGGATCAAAAAATTTACCTTAAACAGATATATATTTGGAGACAGAAGAAGTAATACAAATAACTACTGCACAAGCAAAGGATCTTCTACAAGCAACGCTTTTTGTAGATATGTTTAAAAGTGGAATTGACGTGTTGGGCACAAGGGAACATTTTTAAAGTGGAGGAGATCATTCTAGCGAGGCTTGAAATTTTATGAAAATGAATATACAGGTGAGTTTTGAAATCATATCTTAATTCAAAACTTAGTTTAAGATAATGAATTTATGAGTCTTTTTTACTTACATATACTACATCTTAACCCACTTCTTTCCTTGTCAATAGTCAAATTTACTCAGGAATTAAACAAAATGGACCCTAAAAATTTGAGCATATTTTGTACATTTATTTCTCTCTCCACGTACTATAGGTTCAAACTCATAACCTTTTCTATTTGTGAGGTGCTGTGGTGTACACTTACTTCTTTTAAAGATTGTAAAATAATTAATAACATAATGAAACTTTTAAAGTAATACATTGTCCAACGGTCTTCCTCATCAATCTTCAGATCCCTTGTCAGCTCGGCCCTACTAAAATTCTAAGCCTGCCGTAAGCCCAACAAGCAATAGATCCCTTTAAAATGGCAAACAAAGTGACTTTTATTTTTTTTCCCCATTGTGTACACACACACACACATTCAATATTTGTGAGATTAACTAACAATGCATATCCTAAATTTATGCATGGATAAGGTTTTTATCAAACTGTATATAATATTATTGACTATTGATTGGATGCTTTCCATTATAAAATTAAAGAGTAAATGTGATGGTCCATGAAAATTCCACTCCAAGACTCCAAATGTAGGAAGTATCACGTAACAAGAAACTAAAAGAAGTTTAGCCAAATTCGTATCCTCATCCTCTCTTTTTTGTCTCACTTTGATTTTTTAAGTATTTTAATATGTCGTGTTTTCAGTTTATCATAACCAATGATTCTTATATCTGGGAAAAGATATGTTTAATGTTGGTTGTGAAATGTCAATATTCCCATCAAGCCTTTTTGCTTCTCCTTTATCAAAAGTGTTTACGTGAATGGCAAATTCCAAGTCCATGGTAGAAAAAAATTGTAACGAAACAATGGACGGCCAGGATCAGACTCTGACAAAAAAGTTCAGATCTCACGTCACTCAACGAAATGATTGGACCGCCAAAAAAAAAAAGATAAAAACAAAAGGTGTTATGAAGGTGATGACGTAGGAATTTCCCAAATTTAGGAAGAACGAAGAGTCGTCAAAGGAAGTTTAGTCCCATAAGGCAACTTCAAATGCTAATGCTATGGAACACGTTATACTCCACCACACTTCAGCTTCTCTCGTTTTTCTCTCATACTATACGCAAATACTCTCTCATTAAACGACGTGTCGCTTCACTTAACTTATCCTCACAACTCAGTCTCGTCCATCAGGGAAAAGATCATGCAGTTACACCAAGGTTTTGATGTTTTTCGAGTAAAACTAATTAAACACACTCTTAATTAATAACCCTTTTTTTCTCAACTTACAAGTACCCATCAAATCCATAAATTAAATAGTTTCACGTTAATATGATTAAAGAATCATATATCTGTGTGTGTGTGTGTGTGTGTACTGGTTAATATACAACATAATTACGCTCATCGAGGATTAATTAAGTTGGATTATGATTATCATTATTATATCTAACGGTTGCTATATCATGATGTGCAATGTGTATGCTGACTCAAGTCAAGTCAAAGCAATGCATGAAAATTAACGTTACGACAGTACTTGACGATCCAAAATAAAATTCAACAATATCCATCTTAATTTCAGTTCAATTGAAAGTATATATGGCATTGTGTTCAATTTAAATAGTCAACCAATTAATCTAACTTGCTTCATTTTCATCGCTCAAAGTTTTGGAAAAATTCATAGCCGAACAGAGACTGTTCATTATCACACAGTTTATTATGTTTGGATACATATAATTAACCAATATCATATAGGGATAATACAATTTTTAACTTCTCAAATTTATTTTAATTATCAATTTAGTATTTTTTTTAGTTTAATTTATGTCAATTTATAATTCCTTACAGTTTTATATGTTATTACATTAGTTCTTTAAGTTTTAAAACACAAATTGACTCTTAAATTAAACTAATGTGTTAAGTAGATTAATAAATTAACATATATATGTAGCTAAATAAAAATAATTAAATCAGTTTAATTTTCATTAATTTATTCTCTTATATATGCTGTATTTTGTTCTTTTGTTTTTTAAAATTTTTCAAGTAGTTTTTTTATATACTTCTTTGTTTTAATCTATACAATTGTTATTAATATTTCATTATTTATGTTAGTAGATCCTATTCAGACTAAATTGATAATCAACACAAACATAAAAAAATAAAATTAATAAAAATTAAATTTAGAGGACCAAATCAATAATTAAGATGATTAAACTTGAGGATTAAAAATATAATGTCCCTTTTCGAATCCATACATACGAGATCTAGCTTGGTAGCATACAATGTAGCACATAACTTGTGGAAGGGTGTGTTCGCACTGTATTTTCATGAAAAGGATCAATGAATGAGAGAGTAAAAGCTGAAAGGATCTTGTCGTGAAAGCAAGAATGGCTAATTTCTTTGGCAGATATTCCACAAAGAAACGCAGTTATATATGTCTGCGCGTAACCGTGTGTAAGGCTGTCACGCACTTTTGTCTGCCTCTCTGATTCATCACTGAGTTTTAATTTTCTTCCACCTGGGTCGGCGGATTTAGGCCCTTCTTGTGTATATATACTTGTTTCTGATCAGACTTCATACAGTTTCAGAGAAGAAGAAGAGGAGAGAGAGAGGTAGGGAGGGGGAGAATTGGGAGCGAAGTTAACAATGACGAGCATGGAGCTGAGGCAAGCTTTGGCTGGACTACTCACTCTCTCAATGTTCATAATGCTGGGAAACATGGTCAAGAAAGACCATTTTGATCCATACTTCTCTGTAAGTCTCAAATATGTTGTTACTGTATAATTTAATTTTCTCAGCATGCATTCATATGAAAATATCTCAAATTTTCTCTTGAAAATAATCTCAACCTGATCCCCAAACGAGGATTTCAATCACGGCCATCAAGATGAAAATGCCATAACAAAACCAGAAATCTGCGACAGAAGTGCGGAGACCCCAATTTAATTTCCTTCTCCTTATTATTATTATTATTATTATTATTATTATTATTATTATTTGTTTTTTAGAGCAAAGCGTTACAGTTTGAAGTTATATTTGTGTGTGCACACGCACATATAAGTGTGTATAATGGCGGGCTTAACCTATATGAACTCAAGCTAAGAAATCCTATATCTCAAAATCAATCAATTATTCAAGCCCAATCCTTATTAAAATAAAAAATTTTTTTATTAAATTAAATGTCTCATTATTTTATTATATATTTACATTCTAAAGTATAAATTAAAATATTCTAAAATTAAAAATAAGAAATACAAATCATAATTTTAAAATATGAATGCATATTTTAAAGTTTAAATATAATTCAAATATATAAATGTCATAATTTTTTAATATTAAAATAAATATGAACTTAATAGATAGTCCAAACCCATTTTTTAAGGTTTTAAAGACCTAGACTCAGAAGTCCTTTGATATTAAAATACCTCAATTTTTAAAGCCCAAATTTAAAGAAAATCAAGTTTAAACGAATAGAACTTGTATTCTGAACTATGTTATATATTGGGGGGTGGGGGGATATATAGACCCAACATGGCAGGGTTGCTATTTTGGGATTTAACATAAATATTTAAACTTCTGTTAACAGATCAAAGGCTGAGTAAATTGTGTCACTGTCAACACTTTTTTAGGCCACGTCACTTTCAACAATTAGCACCAGTGAGAAGAGTGGAACATATAACTTTGAGTCCAATTAAGAGAGGTAGAGGAAGGCCTAAGAGAACACTCTTGGAAGTTATTGAACGCAATCTCTTAATTAATAATATTCCTAAAAGTTTGATAAATGATAGAGCACAATGACGTCTTGCAATCCATGTAGCCGACCCCACCTAATGGGATAAAAGCTTGTTGTTGTTGTTGTTGTTGTCACTTTCAACAATTAAGGACTTATATATGTGATTATGAAATGTTTAATTATATTATCTCATAATATGGATTGCAAATGAAAGTAATTAGTAAAATAACAAGGCATATTGCATGGTGTACAATATGGGTGAGAAATAGGTTGACGTTGAGGCAACACCATCAACTTCTGGAACTGTAACAGTCACTGGACAAAGCCTCGCCACTGTTTCACATCTCAGCAAAGAGACTTCTAAACAAACTGCAGATTCACTCAAACCATGCTGGAACCCTCCTATGCTCAGTATGCTTCCATTTTCACACCAATATTGTCCTCAAAAGTGTCTTCTCTCTTGTTTGGTTCTCTGTACTTGATGATATTGTTAAAAGGTTCTTATATGTGTGTGTGTGTGCGCCATTGTTTTTCTGATCAATCTGCAGAAGAATCAGAGCAGTCTAAAGGGTTCATCACATTCTCCTTAACAAATGGGCCTGAGTATCATCTCTCACAGGTTCATTTCTTGAACCATTTTCTTTTGAGTTTTTTGAATTTGTTTATACTTCTTTTCCCAGGCTTATCATTTTCTTGGATGATTTCTCTTCAGATTGCTGATGCAGTAGTGGTAGCCAGATACGTTGGTGCCACTCTTGTGCTTCCTGACATCAGAAGCAGCAAGCAAGGATATAGAATGTTAGATGTTCTCCTTCTTCTGTCTTTTGTTCAATACTATATATATATATATATATATGTTATTTTTTAATCATCAGATTCATTTTTTCTCCTACATTTCCTTATTTCTGGATTTCTATCATCATTACATACTATGAAACACAAACCCAGTGAAAGGGAACAATATGCTGTGTCAGATGCTTGTGCTAGATTCCATGGAATACTTCAAATTAGTCATATACAGTGTTTTATAGGGTAATCAGACATTCGAATTTTCGTGCTCTGAAAAAATTCTGAATTAAATTTAGGAACTTTGGAGATATCTATGATGTTCAGAAATTCTTAGACAGCTTGAACGGGATAGTGAAGGTGACAAGGACTCAGCCTCCGCAAGCATCATCCAATGGAAACCTACCAACTGTGAAGGTGCCAAACAGGGTCACTGAAGACTATATTGAGAGGATAGTGAAGCCAATCTACCAAGCAAAAGGAACTTTAAGGATTGAATCAAACTTTCCCTCTTCATTAATAATCAATTCAACAATGGCTCCTTCAGACCAGAAGAAGAAGAAGAACTTGATGAACCCAGCTGCATGTAAGGCCATGTTTGGATCTCTTCAGCTGCAACAAGAGGTACAGGAAGTTGTGGGCTCCATGGTTCACAAGCTCAGAACTTGGAGCCAGAACTTGAATGGGAAGTTCATAGCAGTGGACTTTAAGAGTGAGATGTGTGATGCTCAAAGAGGAAGAAATAGTTGTTACAAGGCAGATGAAATTGGTGTGTTTCTGAAGAAGTTAGGGTTCGGTCAAGAGACTGTGGTTTATGTGACTCAACTAAGATGGCATTCTGATCTTGATGCACTTAAAAATATCTTCCCAAAGACATATACTAAGGTATTTATATATCACTACTTTCATATTCATACTTTTTTTTTTTTATGGTGAATGGGGCTCATTTATGGAACCCAATACAATAGTATTAGAGCCAATTTTATAACAAAACTTAAATTCAAGTCTATCCATCAAGGTTATGTAATATATTTTTTTTTAAAAAAAAAATCTCTCCATAGAAAAGGGGGACACACCCACATGATAGTGCCAGTGTTAGGTTTGAACCTGGGCACTCTTCCAAGCGAGGGGACAGCACTATTATGTCTATTTTCTACTTTATATACATTGATTTGCTTATTTTCAATGGATGAAAAACAAGTCAAAACATGTTAAACTCTAGCTTAACTTACAAGCATGCATGAGCCATTGACATGGCAATAAATTATAGGTTTAAATTGAAATTTATATCTAGATATATCTTATGGTGGGAGAATATTACAGGAAAGCATAATACCAGAAGAGAAGAGAGGAAAATTTCTCAACTCAGAGATCAGTGAATATGAGAAGGTGATTGACTTCAACCTATGCTCTGAGAGTGATGTGTTTGTGCCTTCACTTCCTGATCTCTTCTATACCAATGTGGTTGCCGTGAGAATTGCCTCAGGAAAGAATCAGATACTTGTGCCTTCAGATGAAATAGCAAGTAATAATGCAGCATCAGCTTCTGATTTCATCTCTCCTTATGTTTCCCAGAAGACCCACTTTGCTTACTCATGCTTTTGCTGAAGAAATTTGAAAAAAAAAAAAAGAATAATTCTTGCATGAATATAATAAGTACGTTCAATATATGAGAGACTCAAGTTCTGAACAAAGGCAATCTAGAGTTCTGTGTTAATTAGGTTTGATGTTGTGGGCTACGTGTCCCCAAAAAATTGTAAATCCTGGTTATCTCCGTGCGGAAAACCTTGAAAAACTCATATTACTTGTCATTTATATGCATTCGGGTATCATGAAATATGATAATCATGCAAATAATAAAGTTTATAATATGTTTTTATATAATCTGTGTTGACACTATGGATTCTTATATTGCATGGGAGTACTGAGAGTAAAATGATATGAGAATGAACATCTCTTTAGATAGAAGAAAAATTCTTAGGCGTCATCTTGCCTTTGAACTCCGCTAACCAGCGTCAGGGCTACGTGTCCCCAAAAAATTGTAAATCCTGGTTATCTCCGTGCGGAAAACCTTGAAAAACTCATATTACTTGTCATTTATATGCATTCGGGTATCATGAAATATGATAATCATGCAAATAATAAAGTTTATAATATGTTTTTATATAATCTGTGTTGACACTATGGATTCTTATATTGCATGGGAGTACTGAGAGTAAAATGATATGAGAATGAACATCTCTTTAGATAGAAGAAAAATTCTTAGGCGTCATCTTGCCTTTGAACTCCGCTAACCAGCGTCATTGTCTGGAAATAACGGCTCTTATTGTGAGGAATATATTTTAAAAACTACGCTTTTATTATTAAATAAAAAATAGAACCATATTATTGATTTTAAAATAGACAATAGACAATAAAATATTTTAACCATACTATTTGATTTTACCATCTTAATTTTGAGGTTGACACTAAATAAGAACATCTATTTAGTGAGACAAGGCAACAAACTAAGAAATAATGGTTATAATTAATTAACGAAAAAATTACTCATTTGATTAATATAATTTTAATCCAATTACAATTTAATCTCTAAATTTTAACTCATTATAACTCAGTGTTTATAGTTTTAACTCGACTGTAACTTAATTTTTAAATTTTGTGTCTTGTAATTTAATCCTTATAGTTTTAATCATTTAAATATTAGTCCCTATATTTTAAAAAATAAAATTAAAAATATTTTAGACTCTTAATATTTATAATATTTGTAAAGATTAAAAAGAGTTTCATAATTTAAAATATTAGAAATAAATTTTAACATAATTCTAATCTTCAATTTTATTACTAATATTATAAATGTTAAAAGTTTAAGATATTATAAATATTAAAATAAAAATGTCAAAACATTATAATTTTGATATTTAATAATTTAAAATATTAGTAATCAATTTTAACATATAATTATAAACAGTAAAAGTTCAAGATATTATAAATATTAAAATTTTAATTTTTTAACATTTAAATATTCTAAATATTAAAAGTTTAAAATATTTTAAATTTTTATAATTTTATTTTTAAAATATGGCAATTAATATTTAAGTAATTAAAATTATGAAAACTAAATTGCAAAAGAAAACAATTTAAAAATTGAATTATAACAAAATTAAAAATATAAAGATTGAAGTCAAAGTTCAAAAATTAAATTATAACTGAGTCAAAATTTTAAAGATCAAAAGATTAATTTTTTCTTAATTAATCATCCACAAATTTGATGTTTGAGGTCATATTTTTCATTTATATACATATAAGAAAGAGATAACACGAGGAAATATTGTCCTTGATTTCTTACTAATATTTCTTTTTTTTTAACAAAATTGATCATAGTAATAAAAAGACAAGTGCTTAGTGGCTTTTAAGATTTAATCTTTAATATCTTGAGAACAATCAGGCAACATTCACCTCGCAGAAGCTAAATTATAGAACAGGTGATCGACAAATATAATAAAACAATAGGAAAACTTTATTTCCTTAAACATCGTTCAACTTTGCTTGTTTCATATTAAATCAAAGCGTAAAAAATTGTCTATGATTAATTTTATAAACTCTTATTATTAATATTAATATATTAAAACTAACATTTTGATTTAATTGAATAAAAATATATTAAGCATCTACACATTGCCAAAAAAATTCACTCGGATTTGGGAATGGAACCTCGGAGGCTAGGACTCGCCGAATTGCCTGACGTGCTTAAACGCAAGGGAAAATATAAACAGGTAAAAACCAGAAAAATCATACAACTGTGTAGAAATATGAACATGTTTGACCAAAAAAGAAAAAGAAAATATCAACATGTTAACCGTCCTACGAAAGTAAGTTGAAAAACAAGAGATCAGATTAAATTCCATACGCAACTAGAGCCTAAAAACATCAAAATTAGAACCATTTCTTGTCCAAAATTGAAGAAAAATAAACATCCAAAACCCTAGAAAAAGAAACGGAACTAACCAGGTTAGTCTGCTAAACTATGTCCATTACCTATCCCGCGACAGAGAGAGCACAAGTATTGTCATCACTTTCTCTTGTCGAAGCTCATCGCCGGAAACATCTCGTGAAAAACTCGGCAACGGGAGTTTCAGGCAAGCGTATCAACTTCGCAGCAGCAGCAAGAGGCCAGCTGAAAGGATTGGGACAGAGAAAGGGGAAGCAGGAAAATACAGTAAGTAGTTCATAACGCAAACCCAAGCCTCTGATCATACTGACTCACTGGCTAAATGCAAAGCCTAAACCCATAAAAATGAAAAAGCTAATTGCAGTAACTACAAACTTCAGAAGAACTGAGCTTGACACAAATTTTTAGGATGTTATATTCATAAATCTTATAAAACAGGTTTTTGAGCATTTTTATAGTTATCAACTAACCTGATGAACCCAATGACGACGGAAATGATCCACATTTTCCAATTAAGCCTGACTGTCTTGGTGAATTTTCCCAGAAATTCGATGATGATAATCTAAAAAATAAAAATAAAAATAATGAAAACAACAGTAATATTATGGTGGATTGAGATTTTGCCTTGATAATGCAAAACGAGAGAGCACAAGTGATGAGACTAACCTGAAGCAGAAGAGTTATTCCCACAATCCCCACAAAGAGGTAGTTTCTAGTGATTCCCTTGAAGATGTTGTATTCATCAGGCTTTCGAGCATTGAATTCATTAAAGATCTGCAATTTGAAAAGCATACTTGCTTTGTGATCATCTCAATGCAAATTGGAAGAAAATAAAATGCATTTAGAAGATTGAGCAATGGTGGAACTTAAAGACAGAGGGAAGCCATTTTCAACTTCCTTTGCCCATACAACTACTCGTGGGCTCCAAAATTAGGGGTGTGAACTGTGAGTGAACAACCCACCAACCCCTTCTAACCTGACTCATTTGGTAAATAAATGATTTCCAATCAGATTAATGGGTAAACATGAACGACATTTTATATACTCCCTCCATTAAAAAATGTAAGGCATTTTTAACTAAATCTCACCTCCGAATAAAGTAGTTACCTACTTTTAAACTAACCCTATTTTTCTATATTTATCCCTATTAAATACCCTACAATAAATATAAAGTCATTTATCAATAGGGACACTTTTGAAAAAAGACAATGATTACACCTCGAAAAATTAAAAATGCTCTACATTTTTTAATATTCAACTCCTCAAAAAATGCCTTACATTTTTTAACAGAGAGAGTATGTAACATGAAAAGCATAAGGTTTGTTTTTGACAGGTCTCAATTCTAAAAAGGCATGTCATTTAAAATTGATGATGCGTGGAAAAACAAGATTTTAAACCTCACCCAACCCCAACAAGTCTGGGATATCTAAACCATTCCTGGCAACGATGCTTACCCCAGTTTAATATATGCTTGAATTAGCTGATAACCCCAAAGTGTGTGTTATTGTATTAAAAGCTCTTTCTTTCATTAAGTAGAGTAATATTTAATGACGCAAATCAAATGAATGGCTGGTACCCAAATACCTTGTAACATGAGGAAATATTTGAAGGGGTTGTATCAAGAATGAATTCAACGATTTTTTTAGGGACCCAAAAAGAATTAAATGATTTCAATAATAGAAAATAACGAAACAAGAAAACAAAAAAGAGTAACCACTTCCCTCTATTATGTATGGTAAATTTCATCAATGCCTTAAACTTCTACATTTTGATTCAAAAGAAAGCTACTCCATTTAATAATTATCTAATTTGCTGAAATTTTAAGCATTCTTGTATAATCTTAAGGTTGTTATTCAATCAAAGACTAAAAACAAAAATCATTGCACCAATATCATGAATCTCAAATTCTTTGCTACTGCTGCTAGTAATACAATAAAAGATATAAATAAAATCTATCCTTCCCCCTCAAAACAAACCCAAATATCAAATGTAATTAATAGCGAAAAAAGCTTACCTGACAGAAAACAAATGCGTTAAATATTAAAGTGTTCTTCACTTTGAGAGAATGGGTGAATTCATCATGCTTTAGACCCAGTAAGCTCCTGCCTCGGAAATTGAGTACAAGCAAAACAGATACTTGGTATATTGCCTGAAAAAACCCAACTAAAGCATTGATGATTCAGATAGAGGACAGTAAATGATATGGTATACACTCCAGTAATAGTTAAGGCAGCAGCTTTGAAATTAATTGTAAATGCCAGCACTTGAAAAGAAAAATTATGCAACTAAGATGACAAAAGTGGTTATATGAGAAACAACAGTTACCTGTATGAGCAAATTCCTCCACATGATATTTGTTATGAGAGGTTCCCTGCAAACCATTCAATTACTGTCATGTACATCTCACAAAGCTATCCAAGAATAAACGCATCATATCTTTCATTTTGAGACAAGAACTTTAATAGCTTGATGTCCATAACAAAAAAGCATTTTCGAAGGATATGCATCCAATATAGAGGCCTAGGTAACTGTACCATTTAACAAACAATTGCTATGATCAAAGTACTGAGTAGCTACTCAAAATGATTGGAAAATTCTGACCTTCGACCCACAGGAGTTCGATCCATTAGGTGATCAGTTGGTGGTTCTGTTGCCAATGCTAGTGCTCCAAGTGTATCCATAATCAGATTTACCCAGAGAAGCTGTAGAGGAAGCAATAAAGAGCATTACAACGTCTTCTAAATATGCAAGTGAGCAAGAGCTAAAGTGAAAGGGATATAGAAAGCAAACCTGTACTGTATTTAACGGGACATCACCAGAAGAAACTGCAGCAACAACGTTAATTACAAGAGCTGCCACATTTACTGTAAGC